TTTTAGAAACATTAGAAAAAGTATTTCACACCACAGTTACACACACATAGTATTTTTAAGAGTATTAGTATAGTATTTTAGTATAGTATTTTTATAGTAGTAAAACCCCTGAAACACACCATGTATAAGACGAAGCTGCAGCCTGAATATTCTTATCAAATCAGCCGCCTCGGCAATATTTAGGCCACCTAAGCAGTCCCCAGGGCATTTTAACCAGGTCCCTGGTGTCCCAGGCTTGGGCACCTGCCACTTGGTTTTGTTTTCGTAATTTGGACCCCACGCAACACAGAATGGAGCTTCCAAACGGGAAAGCTCCGAAAGCAACAAACCTGGGAGGGAAGGTCCAGAGACGGAGCCCATGGAAACCATAACCAAGGCGGGGACTCTGGTTATTTTGGAGGAAAAAATGGCTGGTGCTCCAGGGAACTTTCCCATTCCCTAAAACAAGTCACCAGGGGAGCAAGAGAGGAGGAAGAAAACACACGTAGCGGGTGCCCGGAGGCTCCGACACAGCAACAAGCAGCTATCGCAGGAGTGCTCAAAATGAATGTTCTGTTCTGGCATTAGCTGGAATCAGCCTTTAATCTGATCCAAGAGAAGCCCAGATCAAACCAACTTACAGATATTTAAAATAAGCTCAGAGAAAGCATGCTAAAATTGCTTCATTTTGAGAGGGAAACGGTACAAAATCTCCTTGGAGAGGCCACCAAAAAGTACTGGAAAGAACTGAAGCTTGAACCTCTTCCAAGAGGAATCTTCCTGCAGAGCTCAGGTGCTACTTCATGATGTTACAGGATTAGGCAATTTAACTTATATATTTTGCTTATATAGATACTTTACCTTTTCTAAACATTGCACTAGCAATGAATGAGAGCTCGAACAACAATCAGCTATCACTGTCCTACCCTGTTTTTCTAGGACAGAAGTTATTGCAACAAGAAAGACTTCTATAATAAAAACCAGTTTCTGAGGATTGTTTTTAGGCAAAAGTTCATCTCTGGAACTTCATGCAGCTCAGTTTTACCAACAAGATTTTTTTTTTTTCTTTTTTTTTTTTTTTGCCCGGAGGGTACACTGTCACATAAGATTTGCTTTTGCAGGGGGGGAAATAATGCAACTGCCAGAAGAAAAATAGGAAATTGGGCAGCAAAATATAGAACCTGATAAACCACTGGGTGGTGGTGGGGAAATCTAAAGTTCTCCTACTTTTTTTTTTCAGAACCCAAAAATTTAATAAAAGAAAATCACTAGACTAGAACTTATTGGTAAAAACTAGACACCAGATGTCTGCTACATATTACGAAATTCTGCAGAGCTGACAGAAAACGATAGTGCATCCCAACATGCAGACTGGTCCTCACTTCATCAGCTCCAGGTCGGATTCCCGTGTAATCCTGGGGCGCATCTTGGAGCAAGGATCCACAAAGAAGACCCGGGGCCGGCGGCATCGCCCTTCGGCCGGCGCTGCTCCTATTACCAGGCAGGTCTGGTCTCAAACTTGGCGTCTGTGACGGGACAGAGAGGAAAGGCTGCGGGGCCAAGCGAGCGCTTCTTGCCTTGGAACCGCTGGCAACGGCTCTGCAGAAAACGCCACCCCTTTGATTGATTTTTATTTCTCCGTAGCCTTTCAGGCAGCAAAGCTCCTTCTCTCGTGCTTTGCCACGGAAATAAAAAATAAGAGGAATGAGCAACGTTCAAACCACCTCTGCGCCAGGCTGTGAGACTAGGAGACAAAACGGGGAGAAGGAGCAAGAGCGATGGGTTAGTTCAGCTCCCCTTTGACGTGGGGCAAAGCAAGCAGTGCTGCAGTGTTTGGATAGAGGGGAGCACATTTCTCACAGCCTGCTCATCACCGACTTTGCCATGCAAAGGCTTTTTCATTTAAAATGAAATACATCTGATCATCTAAAAGACAAATTTTCTTTTTGTCTATGAATATGTACGGAATACTGTTGGGATGCTTGTTGGATGTGCACTGCCTTACCTTTAAAGCGAGTACAAAGTTATTGCAAAGCTTGATAGACTACTCTTAACTCAACATTCAGACTTTCCCCCCCACACCAAGTACTGTCAGATGCTGCAAATGAGCTTCCCAAGCTAAATTCAAAGCAGCTGTTACCGCAATCTCTCTCCATAATGGCTGAACAAATAGGATATCCCTTAAAACATTTCAGATTGCAAGAACAAAAGGGCTCAGCTGTTTTGCTGTGCCTGTAGCTCAGCCTGGCTCCATGAAATAGCTGATGCTCGTCCAACGTTCAAGAAGTTCCATGCTCGGCCCCAAGGAATCTTCCCCAAAACGAAAGATGCCAAGGAGACCGAGGCGGCGTGACCAGAGCAGGAGGTTTTTCACTTGAAAACTCTCCCAAGATTTTTACAGTGAAGAAAGTTTCTTAAAGGACTTAAAATTGCTCTGATCTGAAAACAGAAGCCATTCCCCTTACGTCTAGAAACATTCCCAGCCCAAGCATGGGGAAACAAATGAACATGGCAGTTAGCACGAGCCAGAGCAAATAAACATTTACTCTCTACGAGAGAGAAAACCGCATTTGGACTCTCTGCTTCAGTTAAGTCCCAAATATGTAACTGCTTACACAGGACAACCACTAAATCCATTCTGAGATTTCGTATCACGGAGAAGGTAAGAAAACACCCAGGAACTGCAGCAAGAACCACAGCAAAGGCTTCATGCACCCTAAAGCAAAGCTAAATGGGATCCTTCCTGCCTTCCCAAGGTCTCCAACTGCTTCAACAGCTTCACCAAGTACCACTGCAAGTATGAGTTGAAGCTTCCTTCTCATATCAGAAAGTATAAACAAGAGGAAAAAAAATACTTAAAGGAGTAAGATAAAAATATTTGGTTTAACTGATTTAGTAACTGGCTAAATCCCTTTTTCGGGGGCTAATCCATGTTGGATTGGACTTTTTTTTTAGACTAAAAAACTGGACTTAAGCAGAAGACCTGGAATTATGCATAATGCGAGTCAGCTCGCAGAGGTAACACACGGTCCATCTTCTGACAGCTTCAGGGTGATCTTCGTTTTCACTTTCAGGCAGCTTTCAATAAAAACATTCCAAATGTATAGGAATGTATGTATTCCAGGAGGTTTATCCTCCCTCCTGCCCCTCTATGGATGGCCAAGGCCAGAAAGAAACATGCCCAGCCCTGACTCGCGCCGCACCAGCACAATATGTGTGTAGGGAAACGAGAGCTGTAAGGGAAGCTGGGAACTCAGCAGGGTTGAGGGCACCCCGTAAAAAACACACAGCTATAAAATACCCAAGTTAACCCCGTTTTCCTGCTACCTACAACAGGCAGAGACGACACTGACTCTCCTTGTTGCTACACAAGGACATTCAGCAAGGAAATACGGAGTTACTACTTCCCTCCTGAACCCAGAGCACAACACGCAGCAGACCATTAATTGTGTAGTTAATATTGCATTAATATTGAACTATGGAGAAGCTCAGCATCAAACAGCAAGTGCAGCAAAGAGCTCTGTCCTCTCGGGCCCCGAGATGCGGCGCTTCCCCAAGCCCTCAGCAAACAGCACCGCGGTGCTGATACAGTCTAAATCCGCGGAATGACAAATCAGTGCAAAAGGAAAAGCTTCTCGGATCCATATTCTCTGCACAGATACACTTTGATCACTCTTTGATTAAACTGGAAAACACGGCCCCCTCAGAAAACTTTATGAAGCGCAGATTATATCAACATCGTTCTGGGCATATTTCATTTTGCAGACTAATAACGCTCCAAGGAGGATCCCCGGAGGCCAAGCCTGCCCGGCAGGCCCTGGCTCCAGGGAACAGGGACTGAGCTCATCGAACGCGGCTATTATCACTCGCACTCTCTGTCCTAATTGCCTTGGAAGGGACCCAAGCGGGGCTTTTTGTTTTCAGATTTAGCATAAGCAATTCTGTAACTTCCAAATGCAAAGGTAAATAAATTGCTTGCTTCCAAAAAATTCTGGGCACTTCCAGGTTGCTCCTACAGAGATCTAATATTGATCTTTATTATAAAAGGACATAAAGGCAGGCACTATGCTAATAAAACACCGCAATACATCCCAGCATGATTTAAGATGTGCTTCAACATAAAGTCCAGAAAAGCTCCCCCACCTCCAGCATTATGTGCTTGGATTTCTTCCCTCTACAGAGGTCTAAAAACTCTATTTAAATCAAAATAATAATAATAATAATAATAATAATAATGATTTTGGCTGTCCACTTCTCAAGTCTTCCAGAAATACCAAGATATATCCAAGCACCAGCTAAGCAGGAAGCAGGCATCTCATTTAGGACTCATCAGACACTGCAAACATCTCAGAGGCTCCATTTTCATCAAGCTCTCAGTAGCATCTAGTGTAAACCACAGTAACAAGAACGGGCAAATAACTCCATGGGGTTTAGCACAAAGGGAAAAGCCTCTTAACTTGAATGCAAGACACTACCCGGGAAGCTCCAAGCGGTTTAAGTAATACACTGCAAACAGGGAAATACATTTAAACCACTAACCCTGCAGATCTACATAACCAGGACTAGAACCACAGACAGGTGGGTAATATCTCAGAAACCAAGCAGCCAACGCAGCACATAACCAAGAAAGTAAGTGAGAAACCTCCACCAACGTACAACGTAGTGAAAAATAGGAAATTGTCTTCTTACCCCCCAGTAGGCCTCACATTTTCCTTTAAATGTAGTAGTTATGCATTAGAAAATGATTTATATTAATCAATTAAAAAAAGTAATTTAGATTATTTGCAAAGCAAGGGCAAAAAAATGAGTGGTAAATTAAACCAACATTTACTTTACTACAACAACAGATTTCAGGATTTAAAAATACAAAGAATCATGTGATTCAAAAATCTGAAATAATTCCATTAAATTTATACAAAGTATCAGATACTATAATGGCATTAATTACCAGAAAAAAAGGTGAAGAATACTAAATCATTCCCTGATAGTATTGCAGGAACATTATTTGTCATTTCACTTACCCAAGCTTTGTGCCACTTATCTCCTCCTTTCCTTTGCCTTTCTCTTTCTCTCTCACTTTTTCTTTCTCTCTGCCTTTACGCCATTCTCTTTCACGAGACCCGCTATGAGTTCTCCTATGCCCGGATCTTTCACTACTTCGACTACAAGATCGTTGATGAGGTCTTGATGGTGATCTACACAAAATCCATAGTATTAAAATTTAGCAGTTATACATTTTTCCACTGTCATTATATTTAGATTTGTTATATAGTCCAACTATTTAAAAAACAAATTTTTTCAAATTATTAAACAAAAAAACTACCCATTCTTAAAAAAAAAAAAAAAAAGAAAAAGAAGAATTTGAAGTGTGCTGCCTTGGAAGGAAGGATGCAAAGTGAAATTCACTGCCCTACACAGTGCTCATACAATAGGTACGAAGAAAGCAATCATTAGAACTACTGGGGAAAGACAGGAATTCTTTCCTGAACATTAATTCTTTAAAAAGAAGCTATTTAACTTGTCAAATAATTAATGAGTTACCAATAAAAGTGACTGCACGCCAGCAAAATCAAGACGGTAAGAGTCACGCGGCCAAACCCGGAGCTTGGCTCACAGCGCTGCCAGTTAGGCCAGACTTGCACAGGGAATTCCGTCTGGAATGAGCGCGCGGACGCAGCCTCCAGGCGCGCAGCCGCCGGCCACACGTTCCTACAGGGCCAGGGAATCCGCTGGTCTCACTCACGTTATCCCCTCCTCTGCAAGAACTGCGTGCTCTAACTTGTACATGCGAGGGAAAACCCATCAAGTCACGCTACAACATGACTGTTCACATTCACAGCCAAAAGCAACCTGCATGAGCCCCATGCTTCTTTTAGATTTTAAATGAATTATTATCCTGTACCATCATTAAAAATTTAGCAATAGACATTTAAAAAGTAGCTACAGACAACACATCTATGAAAACAGCAATCCTGGCTTCCATTTGTTGGTATTCCATTGCACGTCCTCATCAAAGTCCTAAGGCCACTCAGCAAAAAGTTTCATTAAGTAGAGGGCATTTTAGAGTGTGCATGTTTTTTAAATAACATAAAAAATATTTAGGGCCTCTTGGGCTTCAATCCCCAAAAGGCTTTAAAAGCAAGCTCATATACAAACCATCACGCAAGGTAAAAGGCAACAACCATTTAATAAAGCCCTGCAACAGAATAGGTAACAAAGAATAGCACACCCAGATGAAGCTATAAATCCAGTTTGGGAAGAATGTGGCTCTTGGATCTGGAGTTTGTCCAGCACTCCGGCTCCGGGGTTAACATCCCCATTCCTTTCAGCATGGCCGGGGTCACAACCCCCGTCTTACATTTCCTTCAGCAGATGGCATCTCCTGCAACCCAATATCTCCAATTCCCGGGCACGGATCACGTTACCACTTAAGCACGGGGTATATTAGTAACTACGGGACATTTTCTGCCTCAAAATGGATTTCATTGTGTCACCACAACCCAAAGGAGCCCTGCGGTCCCGCGCGGAGCAGGCCCAGGCCTCAGCGCGCCGGCCTGAGCCTCAGTGCGAGGGGCGCCCAAGGAGCCAACGGCAAAGCTTGGACCATCCCAGCCCTGATCCAATTTTCACTTTCCAAGCTGCATTTCCCAGTTGCAAATTCCATTTACACCAGGTGGATGCCCAAGCGCTGGATTTCTATTAGTTCACATCCAAGTAAAATAAACCTCAGGTCTAATTTAAGCACAGAAGGACATTTAAAAACAAAATAAGCGTGCTCGCTCAGATTAGCGACCGTGTATTCCTAACAAGGAACACACAGATGAACATTTTCATTACAGAAGTTGTCACTGTTCTCAGGTTTGCTCTTTGGCACTCAATAAAACTCATTAACATAGAGCAATTAATAAGTATTGTTCACCCTTTGAAGCTTATAAATAAAACTCGGCTTTAGTTGTTTATTTATACTGATCACGAAGGGCATCTACGCTGCATGTACAAAAGCACCGGCACTCTAAAAATTCAAAAAGATGTACTAAGCTCAGTCTTGGAATTGGGAAAGGAGGGACAGGAACCAAGTGAACGTGGAAAAATGGAGGAAACGAGAGGGAAAACTTGCAACCTGTGGCTAATTCCTGCATTTGGAGCAAAGCCCTGTGCTCCAGCACCACATTGCCAGGATTATTATGGAAAATGTTGATCTTGTATTAACATTTCCCCTTCACAAGACAGTTGCCTAACAGAAGAAAAGCCAAGCCAACCTAGGCAGCCACAAAATACAACTTTATTAATGAATTTAAGCTGAATCTCAAACTCAATTTTAAGTTTTCTGTTAGCCTGTGGGGAAAAGATAGTTATACAGGACTTCTCAAGCACAAGAAAAAAAAAAAAAAAGTCAGCTCTTCCAGTTATTTGCTTAAAAGAACACAGTTTAGCACAGTGATTTAAGAGTTGAAGTGCATTATATAATTCTACCACACTTCGTGGAAATAAAACACAGAGACTCAGTACTTAAAGATAACAGACCTAAGATAGCAGAATGAAAATCTTTGCAACATAAATCTCCAACAATTGCATCTCATGATCAAAATAACTTCTGTCAGCAATACTTCTAAAATACTTCTAGGGCTGCAGCAGCCATAAACCTTGCAAGGGCTGCAGAGCCGGGGCAGCAGGAGCCCAACCCTCCCGCTCTCGGCTACAGCGGCTCTGGAGGGAGCTCCTGCTCTCGGTGAAGCGCCACAGGATCATGATTAGCACTGACCAACTTGAATTACCCTGAAATTAAGGGTGAAGCCTGCATCACTTCTTCCTCGGATGCATCACCTGCCTCTCCACATCATGGAAACATGACCAGTTCTGAAAAACAGGGGGACTTTATAGAGCAAGTCTCAAAAGGGGCAATCGGGAACCGTAAAACACTTAGAAAAATAAAAGGGAAAGGATTTTTGCCAACAAGCTTGTTCTCCCTGCATTTATCCAAAAACAAACACGTGATTTTTTTTTCCCCAGTCCTAAAAGCTTAAGGAGGGCCCGACCAATGAATGAAGGAAGAGACTTACTTTGTCATTCAAAAAAATGGAGTAAGATGTAATCTCTAAAGAAGTTAAAGCAGAAAGTCAAACACATTAAATAAAGGAAATGTACAAGTTTACTACTCAGCAGAGTTGGGAAATCATTAAATAAGTGAAGCTGAAGAGATTAGATCCATAGCAACAAAAGAAAGGTACCCAATGCCTTACACTTACATTCGTGACAAGCCACAAGCAGGTATTTGGAAGGCAAAGAGAGACTACAAAAGCATTAAAACCCACGTCAGAGGAACCACCCAGGGGCAGCCCGGCATCCTGGTTCCAAAGCAAAGGGGCTTCCACCTTCCTTGGGCAGAGGGGCTTACGTTTTAGTATGTGCGGGTTATAGTACACCCTCCAGCAAAACATACACAGAAGAGATGTGTACTGTGTGTATGCAGGCAAAAAAAGTCACACTTATTCTGGGTTTTCATTTTACTGGTAAGCACTCCTGACACAAACTACCACTTAAATTCTCCCTTATATTCACCTGCTCCAAGATTCTGGGTATCCTTATTTTCCTCCTATCTTGAGGGAGGCTCCAAACTGTCCTATATCACAGGCTAATTAAATCTGCCTGTTAATGTAATTCAAGCATAATACTGCAACACCAGATTCATTCGAGGCTGAACCAGGTGACAACAGGAGCATCCAGGGAAGAAGCCACAACTCCCTGTTCAACCCGGTCTGTATGCAACCACTGGGGAAACAGTAAGTGACAACATTAAGACAACATTAACACTTACCATTCTGGAGATGCCGAGGCAAAAATCAAACTTTAATATTTAAAAGCAAACCTGAAATGCTTCAGCTTCAAGTTTTGCAATGTTTGTGACCATCTACCTCATTTTATGCTCTTTCTTCTCCATCTCTTCCTTCTGAGGAAAACGTTCATTTTCTAACACCAACCTTTCTGCCTCGGCTGCAGAATTTGAATGATGAACCCTCAGCATTTAGATCACGTCTGACAAGGGCGGGTACAAGGCCACTGACCTCTTGCTAGTACACGATCACCACGGATAATTAAAAAATTAAGATAGAGACCAGCAAGAAAAATGATGCATTGTATTGCTTTAAATGTCCTGCAAATTGAGGCTGGGAGCTGAGAGTTGGAAATAAAAGATTTCCTATAGGGAAAATTAGAGTAGCAAATTTAGTGTGCTTTGTGTATAACGAGTTGCACGACATCTTCGCTGGTAGCAGAACAGAATTCTCCTGTATTTTACTGTGAAGCACTATTAGTGTATTTATATATTTATGTAGGGAGCAGTAAATAAAGATGCAACTTTATGGAGTTATAACAAGTCACCTGAGCCAAGGAGCCTTCAGAAAAATGAGTATAAAAGCCCACAGATCCAGTGGAGAATAAAGGCTTTCTACCTTAGCAAAGAAGAAAAATAAGAAGAAAAATTAAAAGCCAATTATTACTAGTGAAGCAAGTCCCAAAGCGTTCAAATTAGGGAAGCAGCGGAGGAGAAGCCGGAGCGGAACCGGAGCGCCCGGCCGCACGCGCACCCCTTCCCAGCACCCACCCACCCACCGTGCCAAAGGTTAAGTCATTTAGTCAAGTTCAAAGCTCTTCAAAGAGCCCTTAGATCCAGATAAGCCCATATGTTACCGAAACGCTGTGAAAAGCTATTACTTTCCAATCTGCTTTTCATGTCTAAGTTACAGAACACACAGATGCTTGGCATCACTCGGATCCCTAAATTCTCACACCAGATAATCAAGGCTCGCCAATAACTTCCCTATCTCAAATCCTAAGAAATGTCTTTATTCCATCAACACTTAGTCCACTTGTAAAAATTGAAAGTCTCCATAAAAGCCCATTCAGTTACTGCGCAATAAGTGTTAATTTGCTAATTTCTTCACAGGTAATCAATTAAAATGTAAAATATTGGATAAAATTAGTTGCACTAAATTTAACAGCTGCTCCGTAAGCATAATTAGTTTCACAAGGGCCATATGTATTCTGAACAGAGACAGAGTTGAAACAAATAAGCAGATTTTAAAACAAGTTTGAGGAAATCTGCATTTAATTAGCAGGTGGGCACTACAACTGCATAATGTTTTTATACATTTATATTTATGAAGTGACAGAAGATCTAAAGGCTTTTTAAAATGGC